GCCTGAATCTTTCTCTAAACTCCTTCCCTGGGTTCTAGCCCAGCAGCCTTAACCACTTCCCCACAGTGCCCTCTCCTCGCTTTCAAAGAATTGGGACAATCCTTTGCTCTGCCTCATTGGCATCTGTCCCTTCACAAATTTCCTTATGACTTTCAAGCCCTGATACCTGTTTTGAACCCATGAGATCTCTGCTGTATCCACCGATCGGCGCAGGGCTAGAGAAAGGGAAGGAAGAGCCTTTGTTACCAAACTTCAAAAGTTGAGTCACTGTCGGGGTCTGGGTCATTGCCACCTTTCAAAGCACAGCGGACGCTCTTTTGCCATGGCACAGACCTGGTCTCACAACAGCCGGCTCCATGCCTCCCTCCGCTGTTGTGACTTCCGGAGTCCAGCAGCCAGGGATGCGCACGGAATCTCAAAAATCCACAACAGTGCAACCAAGTCCAGTTATCTGATCAACACTTTCACACACACATACTTCATAAACTTTCTGAAAGACCGCGCCTGAGGAATTGCGAGAGTGAAGAAACGTAGGTTCAGGGCACCAGATTCCTCGTGACCTGCTGCAGCGGATGCGAGCAGACGCTACGCCAGAGAGGCCGGCTTCGAGAGCCACGGACACACTCCCTGGGCTTCAGGGTGCCCCCAGGACTCCGTGGAATGACTTTTTAGTTTAGTATAAACTCAGGACTGGCCCTGGGTGATCAGTTTCTTTCTCCGCCGAAGGAGTAACCAACCCACGTGGTAACCACCCCACAAGGTGAGGAGTACCGTCTCCTTAGCTGTGGCTAAAGGGCTCCTCCTGGTTGCAAGAAGCTGGTTTATTCCAGAATGCACACCTGACTGAAGGCGGGGACGTACTTGTCTTAGTGGGAACTTGCCTGTCTAGACCTTGACACTAGCATGCCAGCCTAAGCAACAGTGTGTGCGTGTGTGTGTGTGTGTGTGTGTGTGTGTGTGTGTGTGTGTGTGTATGTGTGTGTGTGTGTGTGTGTGTGTGTGATGTGATGCGGTGTGTGGCTTGTGGTGTGTCCTGTGAGATACGGAGCGCTAGGTGCCTGTGCCCCATAGCCATCACTTTGGGTAAATCAGCTAAACTGCAAACCCCTAGACACAACCAAAACAGTCTCCAGCCTGAGCGTCCCCTCAAGTCTCCATCTAAATCTTTGCATCTGCTGACCCCCACCAAGGCAGGAAATCTTGCTGAAATGCAGGCGGGGAGGGACACCAGGGGTGGGATGGGAGAACTGACACACCCACTCGCCAGAGCTGAAACCGAGATAAAATAAACCCAACAGAGAACAAACCCCGGGGCTGGGCAAGCGCCGGTAAACCAGATTCGTCACTGACTTCCAGGCGCCTATAGCCAGAAGACTGCACTCTGCAGACCCTGGAGTTTAGGGAGGAAAAGGTAGAAACGGCAACACGAAGAAAAAGAAAGCAACCAACTCAAAGGCAACCCCAACATTCCGAGCTACTCCAGATCTCAGAAATTTCGCCAGGATTCGAGCGATCTTAATGGTCTTTGAGCCACCACTGGAAATGCCACAATAGATGTTTGAATTAAAAACCACTAGGCTTGCCAAAAGACCAATTGTTAAAAATTGGCAGCATTCCAAAGAACTTAGCAGGCGGCAAACTGCCCGGGGCCCAGAGAATCGCTAATTCTAGAGAAAGTTAATTATCACCTTATTGATAAAAGGGTAATTTTTAAAGCCTGTAGTATGGCTTTTGTGTCTCATTAATTAAAATTTAGAGTAATTTGCTAGACACCCTGGCGGCTTCTGTTACATTATATTTCTACCAAACCCTCTGATTTCCTTTCTCCTAGGGACCATTTGAATCCCCCATCTCTCCTCACCTGTCTTTGAAAGCAACAAAAACATTTTTAAGGAGTGGAAATGTGTAAATCTCAGTCTTTTGGGAGACTTCAGGATTAAGACATAAATGTCCAAGGAAGCTTTTTTAAAAGCTCTCAGAAATACTGAATTTGCCCATCAATACAGAGGAGCCTGCGTGCTCACACCCGAGGGGAGACTTCTCTCAGAAACATCACTCCTGAAATAGGAAAGCGATTTTGCTGTCCTTGAAGACCAGATGGGATAAGGGTATGTCTTCATCTTCATTCCCAAATCCATTCTCAAACAAAATCTAAGGGGATGAAACCGGAGGAAGCTGGCATTCTAAATCCCAAGGAGCACACAGAGCTGCCTGGGGACCCTGGGACGCTGAAGTTTTCAGAGGTTCCCTTAGGGAGAACGTTGTCTGCCCCGGCCAATGCTGTTCCGATGTGTGTGTCAGAAGAGGTGTGTGTGTGTGTGTGTGTGTGTGTGTGTGTGTGAGAGAGAGAGAGAGAGAGAGAGAGAGAGAGAGAGAGAGAGAGAGAGAGAGAAAGAGAGAGAGAGAGAAAGTATTGATGCCATGTGTTTTTCCTT